TCGAGTATTTTATCAACGACGTAGTGATTAAGAGTCGTTCTGAAAAGGACTATCTATCAGATCTTAGGGTTGTTTTCGAAGACCTTAGAAAATACAATCTGAAGATGAACCCGTTGATGTGCTCTTTCAGTGTGTCTTTCGAGAAGTTTCTGGGTTTCATTGTCCGACACAAAGGTATTGAAATTGATCCCATCAAGATTAAATCCATCACATAGATGGAGCCTCCTAAGAGTTTAACGCAATTAGGTTCCCTTCAAGGCATTATGAATATCCCCTTTTAAAAATACCCCTTTATAAATTTATGCAACTCCTATATAAATTTATGCAACTTTTTTCATTGAATTTTTTACATTCATAACACAAGAACTCTTTTGTATATACATGTCAAACACCTAAACTTAAATTTTTACATGCATGCCATCCTTTTTGTGCATAACAAACATAACAATGTGAAATGCACATTTTTATACATAAGTACTATGGTATGTTTGTAAAATTAAAATTTAGGTGTTTCAGATATGTAGATTTATAAGAATTCCGCGGTATGTATGTAAATGCTCCAAAACTAAAACGGTAAGCGGCACGCAATAATCAGTAAATTAATAACTCGCAGTCGCAGAGCTTCTTAGTTGGGTATTTGACTATTAAAGCCGTATATTACTAATCTGGTGGAAGAGAAGGGACTTTTGGTCCATTTACGAAGGCGAAGAAGGCAAGGCAAGTTGGGCAAAGCAGAAGTGGTCCAAATTAGTACCTTTTGTCCTTCTGTTGTCCTTTGTGGCCTGCTGCCATCCATCGAGATAGAATTGATTTAGTAGGGCTTCATTTGAGATGCGCACCTTTTCTTTCTCATCTTTTCAATTTACCGAAACTAAATTCTATTCTCTCTCTCTTCTTTTCACAGGATCCGGTTTTCAATCTCTCTTTCGCTTCTTATCTTTTTAGTTCTCGTTCATGAAATCTGCGTAAAAAATGTTTCTTTTTCATCATTAGGAAAGATATATACATTTGATACAGTTTTGGAGGAATGATGCATTCAAATACTGAGGATTCAGAATACCAGGAGTTCGTGGAAGTTGATCCGACTGGTAGATATGGAAGGGTAAATCTCATTCATCGTTTTTCTTGGCTCGTTGACTCGTTTGATTGGTAGTTTTTGTAGTTTTAAATTTTTTATTCCATGGTTTAGATTTTGTCTGATCCATTTGGTTTTGAACGCAGTATAATGAGATCCTTGGCAAGGGTTCATCAAAAACAGTGTATGAATCTATCCCCTTCTTGTTGATTTTTCTCTTTTTGAAAGCCTGGAATAGAGTTACCCAATTTGTAATTTTGGGCAATTTTTTCTCTCAATCTCATGTGTTTTCTGAAATGGGAGAGTTTTTTTTTGCTGCAATTTGATCGCAGATATAGGGCTTTTGATGAGTATGAGGGGATTGAGGTCGCATGGAACCAGGTGAAGCTAAATGACTTTCTTCAAAGCCCGGAGGATTTGGAGAGGCTATATTGTGAGATCCACCTCCTCAAAACCCTAAAGCACAAGAATATAATGAAATTCTATTCTTCCTGGGTCGATATCTCCAAGAGGAAGATCAATTTTGTCACTGAGATGTTTACTTCTGGCACTCTGAGGCAGTAAGTTAATTTATTGTTAGTTTATAACTCGTATCTCTGGTCAATTGGGTTCTTATTCCTTTCTTTCATGTTCTATTCCATTCCTTAGGTATCGGCAAAAACATCGGAGGGTTAATATCAGAGCAGTGAAGCATTGGTGCAGGCAAATCTTAAGCGGCCTGCTCTACCTCCACAGCCATGACCCTCCCATCATTCATAGAGACCTCAAGTGTGACAATATTTTTGTTAATGGAAACCAAGGAGAGGTTAAGATTGGTGATCTTGGTCTTGCAGCCATTCTCCGGAAACCACAAGCTGACCATTGTGTTGGTGATCTTCTAAATCCCCTTCTTACATTGAGTCAAGTTTTTTTTTCATTTTTTATGGTAATGATTTCCTTCTTAGAGAAGGAATTATGAGTTATTTTTTGATCTAGATGATTCTGTTCGAATCTGCTACAGGCACTCCAGAATTCATGGCCCCAGAGGTATATGAGGAGGCATACAATGAATTGGTTGACATTTACTCTTTTGGAATGTGTGTTTTGGAAATGGTCACCTTTGAATACCCTTATAGTGAATGTACTCATCCTGCACAAATCTACAAAAAGGTTATATCTGTAAGAGTCAAAATCCTGTACCTCTTCTGTGTAGATTTTGATATGTTATGTTATCCACTATGTTCCATCTGATGACATTTTCTTATCTTCCATAGGGTAAAAAGCCAAAAGCTTTAGATAAAGTTAAGGATTTTGAAGTGAAACAGTTTGTGGAGAAATGCCTGGCAAAGGTGTCAAAGAGACTCTCTGCAAGAGAGCTTCTGAATGATCCCTTCCTCCAAATTGATGAGCGTGGCCTTGCTTATAGGGAAGGAGACTTGGCTGCAGTGGGTCAGGTTCTTAAGCAACCTTATTATAGTCCTCTTGACAGTGAATGCTCTTTGATAACTAGTAGTTTGATGTCGGATGATCTACACTATGATATATTGATGGAGAATGGCTGGGATTGGGACGCTACAGAAATTGAAAAAAGCAGGCTAAATCTTTTCAGTCCGGGGAACGAGCCTCATGCTAATTCAGAAATCATGATCAAGGGGAAAAGGAGTGACGATGGAAGCATTTTTCTAAGGCTTAGAATTTTCGATAGAGATGGTACTTTACAGCACAATTCATTTATTTTTATAGGATGAGGATCCAACAAATGGAAAATGCTCCAAAACTTTGATAACATGATTACATTTCTTTCACTTTTCCAATATTTGTTCTGTTGACGTCCCAAATGTCCTCTGCAGGCCATGTGCGGAATATCTACTTTCCTTTTGAAGTTGAAAATGACACTGCATTAGGTGTTGCGGCGGAGATGGTTGCAGAGCTTGGCATAACTGATCATGATGTTGCACAAATTGCGGAGATGATAAATGGTGAAGTTTCTTCCTTGGTGCCAAATTGGAAGACTGGCGCTGATATAGCAGAGATACCTGGCAATGTATTTTCTTCTTTTTCTAGTAATCATGAGTCTGATGTTTCATCAGATTGTTCCATGTTAAACTATCTTTCAATTAACGATCGAAGCTGTGGAAACCTTGATGCTAATTCCTGCACCTACCTTGACTGTGCCAATCATGGCCGATTTGAAGAGATAACATACCATGTCATTGAATCAAAGTGTGATGAAGTGGAAGCTCCATCTATCTTCTCCAGCCAATCTGATGCTCCCCATTCAACGAACTTTGATGAAAGGAACATAACCATCGATCAGTCTGCCAAAGAAGAAAGGCCGAAATCCGAAAATTGCCCACTTGAAATGCCTGAGGATCTGGATGAGATTCCAGTAAAGTCTTTTCATTTGGGAAGAAACTTCTCATATCACATCCCTTCTAATGACAGTTCTCCCCCCAACGAAACAAACAAAGGAAACAAAGGCAAAGGTTTTCAGTGGACTGGCCACCCTTGTCAGGTCAAACCTAAGAATGCAAAAGAGAGTATTTTTGAGAAAGATGTTTATATTCAGGACTTCATTACCCAAGCAATGTCCACTGTGCCAAGCCATCTCAAATGGATGCTATAAATGTAAGGATTTCTGGGGGAGTTTATGTTATGTTTCATGTTGTATATATACCATGGCATGTTACTCCCTGATTATGAGGTGTTGATTCTCTCTTAGACTAATGACTAAGAGAATATTTTTCTTGTTTATTTTTAGTACAGAAAAACTGGTTCACGATACATTTCTCTATTACTGTTTGGTTTCCAAATGCATGTATAAAGAGGATATTTGAGCACATCTGGAAAGAGTTCTGCTAATGACACCAGCTATTTGTTCTCTTATCTTCTGTTGCAGATTTGCTAAACTGTGGACAACCAAACTTCTTATAAAAGAATTACAGCACAAAAATATTTTAATTTGTGTAGAATTTTGTGTGCTTAATTCTGGCGTTTAATTGAAAGGTTTAAATTTTACAATAAGTTTTATTTGGGGCATTTACATGCATACCTCCCAATTCCTATATATTCACATGCCTTTTACCTAAATTTTAATTTTTACATTTATATCACCCAAGTCTTTCATATCACATCAAAAATATCACTATTTTAACTTTTAAAAAGTGAAATATACATTTTTATGTTTAGGTAGGATGGCATGCATGTAAAAATTGAAGTTTAGGTGTTGGATATTGAAGTTTAGGTGTTGTGTTGGATGTGTAAATACATAAGAATTAAATGGTATGTATGTAAATCTTCCAGCTAATTTTTCTGACTAATAGGAGTCACTCCATGTACAGGGAACCTATTCCAAAAGAGTAGTTATTTATGCAACATGGAACTGAAAATGACATGAACTCATGAGTTGTCCTAAAACATCTGGATTCTTTGTTGAAGAAATGGGGTCTGATATTGAAGCCGTACTGTCCTAGATTATTATTAAAAGGCATCATTTCTTGCAATTCTAACATCTGGCAGCATTGTGAGATCATGGATGTAGTACGATTGATTAATCCCCAAATTCATCGTTACTTATTTCAATTTTTTTTCTAGGAACAGCAAGATGATTATCATCATAAATATGAATTGCACTTCTAATAATGTGTATGATAATTACTGAGCACATATGTTAAAATTTTGCATCATATATTCACTATTTCATTTATTGATCCTAACCTGTCTTCTTAGTCATATCTATGTCAGTTAAGTTTTTTACAAGCATTTACCTGATTAGATCTATCTTTTGCAAAAAAATATATAACAATTTGCATCATGATAATTGTTATGTGCCAGAAAATTCATGATGGTAGAGTAATAATGTGACGTCTTAGTGTAGCATGAAAATCCAGCCCACAAACAGATAAAAGAAAGAAACACCTAGAATTTTTAAATGGAAAAAACCTAGAAAGGAAAAAAACAGCAGGGTATAGCTCAGTCAAAGTAATTTTCTATGTACTTGCAAGTACGTAAGTCTACCATTCTTTTGAATTAGAATGAAATTCCAGAGCTGATCACAAATATGCAATAATACTTCAGTGATAATAGTCATTATTGGGCTATAGCAAATATAATTTCTAGTTATAATAGTAATAATTGGTCACAAATGTCGTAGTTAGAAACCACAATAGTAAAAGTTAGTCACAAAGGTGATAATTGCTTGCTACAGAGGTAGTAGTTGGCGATAAAGGTTGTACTTAATGGCTGCAATAGCAACATTTGGTCACATAAACCATAGTTGGAAGCTCTATCATTTGTAGTTGGTCATAAATATTGTAATCGATGACTGGACCGCTTCTCTCAGGACAGGGAGAACGATGTTATAATTTACATCATGATTAGATCTGTCCTTTGCAAAAAATATACAACAATTTGTATCATCATGATTGTTGTGTGCCAGAAAATTTGTCAGGTAGAATAATAGTTTATCTTCTTAGCGTAGCACTAAAATTCAACCCACAAATAGAAAAAAGAAAGAAACACCAAGATTTTTTACGTGAAAAAAGTTGGAAAGAAAAAAACCACGGAGCTTAGCTCACTAAAAGTAATTTTCTATGTAATTGTAAGAAAATAAGTGTACTCTTCTCCTAAATTAGAATGAAATTATGGAGCTGATAATCACAACTGTGCAATATTGCTTTAGTTATAATAGTCATAATTGAGTCACAACAAATATAATTCCTAGCTAAAATAGCAATAGTTATCCACAAATATCATATTTAGAAACTGTAATAATACTAGTTGGCCACGAAGGCGATAGTTGCTTGCTATGGAGGCAGTAGTTGGTCATAAATGTTGTACTAAGTGGCTGCAATAGCAACAGTTGATCACATAGGTCATAGTTGGATGCTATATCATTTGTAGTTAGTCATAAAGGTTGTAGTCAATGACTGGACCCCTCCTCTCTGTACAAGGAGAAGTGAGGCTATGATTTTATATCATAAATAACACTTGTCATTACTCGATATAAAGAAAATACATGTATTAGAAACAACAATCGTAGTGTGACTAAGTCAATCGTAAGCATTGTCTTGAGACGATAGGTGTTGCTAGTATGCGATGGTCGACGTTGGCGGCGGGTGATGGACGATAGTGTTGGGATGTGGTGGTAGATGGTGGCTGGCGGGCGGTGGGCGACGAAAGGTGGTTGACACTAGTCAGTGACTATGGAAGTTGTTGGTTACTCATTGGGGGTACAAATTTCACCTCTCTCTCTTTCTCAAGAGAGGAGGTTTATTTATATTATTTTGGGTATTTAGCTTATGACTTTCCTAACCACATGATCAGACAACCCATGTTGATTCCCCTTAATCATATAAGCTTTTTTTTAATGATTTAAATGCTTTAATGCCCTGCGATAAAACAATCTTAGGCTCGTTGGAGTCCTCTTATCAATGCTTCAATTTGACTTTAAACGTCAAATTCAGAGTTCATTTGGTCATTCAATTCACGATTCAAAGCCTTCAACTATACTTCAATGACTTGATCTGGGCATGATTGGAGCCAAACTGAACCAATTTGGTAACATTGAGTTTATCTTGTCAAAATGGTCAGTTTGTCTATAAGCCCAGATGATCTTAAATTTGAATTTGAAAGATCTTTCATTTAAAAAAAAGAAAAACATTTAGATTCGTGCCTGATAAATAATTATTTATAACACATCAGTAGTAAATCATGCCTCTTAACAAAAATAAAGAAAAATCTTTTGAAGTTTCTTCGGTGCTATTTATATTTTATCATTAATTATCATATAAAGCATACAATTGAACGAGTCATTATCGTTCTAGTAATAACTAATATATTCCTATAATAATTTGAAAGAAAAAAATTTGAATGGCAAATGTAAAAACAAAATGTTATGTTTTTTTGAAATATATGCGTAAAGTTATCATAATAAAAAAATATATATTTTTTCATCTCATTTATATCAATAACTCTTAAGACATTAATTTTACCGTTGTGCACGCCCTCATAAAATAGACGTATTAACTTTGGAGTGTACGTGGGATAATGTTCATTTTTATGTTTGATGGCATTTACGTAATTATCATGTGATAATTTAGTGTCTTAAAATTGTATGAAGATCAAGTACATACAGATAAGATAAGAAATGATAGGAGAAGATACCACTAGTGCTTATGTGGAAAAATCATCGAAAGAGAAAACATTCAGGGTCCAGTCGAGTTAAAATAATCTACTATAAAGTTGCAAGAATAAGATAAGAAATGATAGGAGAAGATACCACTAGTTCTTATGTGGAAAAACCATCGAAAGAGAAAACATCCAGGGTCCAGTCGAGTTGAAATAATCTACTATAAAGTTGCAAGTATAAATTAGACTCTCAATGATGCACTAAGTACAATATTTGTTAGTACTCATCGTACAAAAAGATTTGATACATTTTGAATGCGGTATTTGAGAGTAGTTGCAACTGGGAGTTATCGACGAGTCTTTAATCCACCATATTTGATCTACGTCGTTACAGAGCATTAGGGATAGTTCGCTACTCAACAGGGTTCGCTAAGTATGGCGAGCAAGGGGTGGCCGATAGTGGTTGATGTTGGTCGACGGCGGCTGATGAGCGGTGGTTGAAGTTTGTCGACGACAATGAATGCCAGGAATTATTGAAAAGATTTCACTTTGGGACAACAATATAAGTTGGCTCATTCTTCCCGTTCTCTTTCTTCGCCACCCCAACCCCACCCCTCCCCCACTCCATGCCCTTAAGTGAAGATATGAGGTTTATTTATAGGCTTCAGGAGAGGAGTATTGAATCATTTTGCAAATGGCCACCGTAACCACCTGATCAAATGATCTATATTGATTCTCCTTGATCATAGAAGGTTTTTGATAATCTAATAACCGTAATGATCTCAAAATTAAGAGAGTTTAGGTTCGTTGGATTCTTCTCCTCGAGATGCTCGATTTGACTATACAAATGTTGAAATTGGAGTTAATTCAACCCTTCAATTAACTGCTCAAAACTTTAAAATGTAATTCAATGGCTTGATCTTGTAATGATTGGATTCAAATTTGGATAAATTTTGGTATCATTGGGTTCGTCTCATCGAGTCGGTCGGCTTGACTATATGTTTGTTCAAATCGGAGCTCGGGATGTTTTTTGGATTTTAATATGAATAAATTTTTTTTTCAAAAATTGCCTTGAAAGATGTGCCAAAATGCCTTGAGATTTATGTCAGGTGATAAAATTTGTTGATGACATATCAGTTGCCTCATATTTTGAGACGATTTTATTTCTCTCGTTTGAAAATAAATACTCCAGCAATTTGTAGCTTGAAGCGTTTAGAGTTGGCTTTGGTATTTCGTGAAGCTTGGATGAGGTTGTCGTCGTCCAAGTGAGTGATGGTTGCATACTTGTAGTCTAAAAGCAATGACGGTGGCCGTACAATGTTACTCCAACAACGGTTGTGGATGAAATGTAGTGGTAGCTGCCTGATTGTGCAGGAATGGATATACAAATGTGCACATGCACTCAAACAAGCAAATAAGTAAATTTTGGCATTAGAAAAGACAATGGCGTCCATAAACAAATTCAAGTATAAGCTGGGACGTGATGGCACACATGAGGACGAGTCGGAATGCGCGCAGAAGTAAATAAAAGTAAGCGGGCGGGCGCAGCCTCTACTGGTCAACGAGGCACTACCGCGGTATGTGGTAGGTAGCGGATCAACGACAGTTGGTGGGTATACAAAGGTGGCACTTGACAACATTTGGCAGGACGACAATGGGGTAGGACTTCAAAGGTGCGGGCGACGTGCAGATGGTCAGCACTATCAGGCGGGCCATGTTGGGTCAGGTCAGGCCTAAAACTATCTTATGCAGTGATGGTATTGGCCTATCGTGCTTGGTTGAAGTAAAACCAGTGTCACT